CCCATTGTTGTTGAAGGAAAAAAGATGTTGGCACCATCTTAATTTACAATTATTTTTTGTGCTACCAATATAAATTTTTTTAATACCTGGATTTTCAATAGATGAAATAGTACATTGGTAAACTATAAATTCTGTAAGACATTTATTTTGCAATGGACAATTTATGGGTTTTCTAAAGTTACATAATCTATTATTAATATTATTGATTTTTGTTCTGGAATCACTATTATGATTTTGGTTTTAGTGTTTATTTAACCCTTTATTATGTTTTTTATAATTTTTTCTAAATTTTCAGTATAACTACAACTTAATTTTAGCATGTTTTTTAAAAAAACTTATTAAGAGGCTTATTACTTGGAAAATGTTTTTCAATCAAATCAAAGCTCTTGCCCTAACTTACTACTAACCATCTGGTTAAATGGTCGTGTGTACCAAATGATTTTTAAGACAACACACATGAGTGGTTATAAATGTCCTGATATTAAATATAAAATGAATAATAAAAATAACCAGAGAAGAAATAGAAAAATAAAAACACATATATACAAACCCAAACAAGGTACTATGATTTAACATTTTATTTAATTTTTCTTGTGTTCAAACAAGTGTTTTCTTTTTTGGACACAGAGCGTGTAGAAACTGACCAAATCTTCCATAATTCTGAGCACTTTCATCTATACTTTTAGCCATAATGAAGGATGATTTTATTTTCTCTCATCCTTCAGTAATGACACCAAAAACTTATCCATCAATATGAAAGGATCCTATCAAAAATAAGTAGACAGAACATGTTTAAATTATTCAACAAAACATATTTCAATATATATATATATATATATATATATATATAAGGAAGAGGTTATAGTTGTTCCAACAAGAGAAAAGTGTATATTTTAAAAAGAAGAGAGAAACCACAAATATTATATATTCATTCTCTCTCTCTCTCTCTCTCTCTCTCTATATATATATATATATATATATATATATATATATATTCATTCTCTATAGATATACACACACACACTAATTCCTTATAATAAGACTATGTATGTATGGAGAAGTAATATGCATACACATACTATCAAAAACATACACAATACACAAAAATGGAAATAGATCTAAGAAGATACAGGGGTCATAAAAAGATAAGAATGAAGGCATCCTTCCTTTGCCCTTTCTATGACCAATCCTAATTGTTTTATTACCCATTAAGCGGAATAACACTTTGGACACCAGTCCAAGAAGAAACATTTCGGTTACTACTACACAAAAAAGACAATGGTTAAACATTGAAAAACAAAGAAAATTAATTCCTTTTAATATGTGGAAATAGCCATTCTTTGCCTGATGAAGGTTGGCAGACCAGAAACGTGTATAGCAAAATAAAAAATGGAAACTAAAGTATAATATATATTTTAAAAAATTCACATTATAACTGAAAACATTTGTAGTTTCTCTTTTCTTTTTAATATATATATATATATATATATATATATATATATATATATATATACACAGTCACTGGTTTGGTTTGGTTTGATGTTTTATGGCATATCAACCTCAGTGGGTTATTTAATGCCAACAAAATTTTTTATTGATGGTAATTTTTTTTTCAAAAATGTATTGCTGGTAATATTTTTTTTTTTTTTTTTTTTTTTTTTTTTTACAAAGTATTTCTGGTATTAAAACTTATATTTATACTTTCATAGTGTTTTGACTCCAGTTTGTAGGTTAACTATTTATCCATAGTTGGGACCCAACAGGTGTTACCACCCCAGGTTAGGGTGGACCTGGGAACACCATAACTTAAGAGGTGGTTACATGCTCCTCAAAACTTCCTGATTACAGGCCTTGCTGTCAGATGTAGTTTAACGTCTTACTCAAGACGCGGATGTAGTTTATCATCATACCCAGGATCGACACAGTCACTGGTTAAAATAAAATTTAAGAAATGCTCTTAAACAAACATTATCACTCTTGACAGTTTTTCATCCAACTTTGGAACCTTAATCAACAAATTCATTTTTTTGTTTGTTTTCATAACATAATGTCTGCAGAATTGTATTTCATTTTGAGTTGGTGCCATGTCATTTTCTTGTAATATTGCATTTTCCAATGTTGAATTAAACCCAAATATTAACCTTATGACCTGAATTTGGGGTTATATGAAGAATGAAATATTAATTTAAAATTAAAAGAGGAATAAAAAGGGGTTTAAAAATAACTTTAAAATATATAGATAAAAGGGTGTAAGGGATTAATGGAAAGAGAGTTGGGGAGATCTTAGAGGAGGGGAAATGTTTATAAATTATAATTAATATAGTATAAAGAGGTTATAAAGTGGAGAATATAGAAATTAGAATTAGTTATACATTTGACATTTGAAGAGTTAGAGGGGGGAGCGAATATTATGGTAATATAGTAGCTGACTAAGTTAAACCTGTATTATGGAAATTTGAATTTGTTTTTATGTCACAATTATAACACTAATCAATTCCTCTGATTTAATAGTTGGCTTTGGTTATTGTATTTTATTATTAGGAGTATGTGCAGAACCTATAATGTTCCAAATTATCTGTGGACTCAAACCTTTCTTCTTCAATTCCCCAAATTCTTTTGAAAGAGCTGTCTGTTTCCTAAACTAAAACACCAA